CAAAACGAAAGTGAAATAAAAAGTAAAAATGAAATGAAAGTAAAATGAATTTAAAAGCAAAATGAAAATAAAATAAAAAACGAAATGAAAGTAAAATAAAAATAAAAGTAAAATAAAAAACGAAATGAAAGTAAAACGAATTTAAAAACAAAATGAAAGTAAAATGAAAAAACGAAATGAAGGTAAAATAAAAATAAAAGTAAAATATAAAACGAAATGAAAGTAAAATGAATTCAAAATCAAAATGAAAGTGAAATAAAAATGAATTCAAATTAAAAAGAATATTTTTTTCATAAATGAAATAATAAAACAGCTATGGCGCTCATGGGCCACCATACATCTCTCTGGGTTTTCTTTATTTTGGTAAGCTCTAACACTCTTCATAGCCAATTTTCGATGTTTAAGACCGCCCTGGTTCGACACATCCTCCGTGTATAAGAGGTAGCGATTGGAATCACTTTCACCACATATTCTAATTTGTGAATTTTCTCCAACTCGTAGATTTTTGTGCGCTTTACCAACGCGGAGGGCAAAGTTTAATCCAATGAGATACACGATATTATCCAAGAGTTGCTTACGCGTTTCAGAACCTAAGAAGCCCTAACTCCACAAAATTTCTTCCGATTCTTCACTTATGATATCATCACTTTTTTTATTTAGTCCAATGACAGCTTGTGCCAGCTGTTTAAATTTTGCGTCCAAAATCTCTCTCATGTATATGAAATCGTTATCGTCTAGGAGGTTGACAATCCTACCATTGGTCCTCATATAATTTTGCAAAGCAACAACAATTTCATACATAGTATCCCCTTTGTACTCCTGTCCGTCTTGACGTTTCACTTCTGTGATGAAATAGCCCAGTGCTTCATTTAGAGTACTATTGTCCATCTCAAGAAATTCTTGTTGAAATTCTTGTTGAATTTCTTTACGCAAGGTTTGCTTCTCATTGATTTCTGTGTAATCTCCAGTTTGTGAAGTTCGCAAAGCCCAATGCTTTAGCTATGATA